TCCCACAAGGAGCTGAGGCCTCCTGACTGCGGCCACGAGAGGGAGTTTGGAAGCAGTTCTTTCAGCTTAGGCAGCCTTCAGATGCCATTTTAATTCCAACTTCATGAGAGACCCTGAGCTAGAATCACCCAGCTTGACCACTGCCAAACTCCTAACTCACAGAAACTGTGGCATAATAAATGTTTGCTGTTTTAAGCCCTTAAATTTAGGGGTAATTTGTTATGCAGCAACAGATAATATAGTAGCTAAAGTTATATAATGGAGAAGAAAGTACTTGAAAATAAGAACAATGCACAACATCATTAGTTCATCTTTAAGTGATCACATCACACGTAAAGACTATTTTTTAGTTGACACTTTCAGGAGCTATTTAAATAATCTGTCATTTTGGCCTCTTTTTTTTTTTTCCTGCCTTATGGTTTGTTCACAACTTTGCTTAGAGCCACAGAAAAGTTGTCTGATGAAACCTAATGAGGGACCTGCCTCTGCTGCTTGTTAACAAGAGGATCACAGCATAACCTTAAAGCTCTTCCCTAGTCACTTGGTGTCATGACCTCAGTTAAGCTCACCAAAAAGCAATTCTGCTTTGATCTAATATACACACCTTTCCCAACAATGCTGTGCTGTACTGGATACAGTTTTAAGTATATATATAGCCAATGAACTGTATGTAGTCCATAGATTTTTTGTTATTAATCTAATTTTCATCTTACAGACTAAATGACTAACTCCCAACTCTGGATGGTGATTACACTGCTTGAGAATTGAAGGAGGCTAGTCTAGATTGTACAGTCAGAGCTGATTCTAGACATCATCCAACTCTGTGAGCACAGTTTGGGTCTAATATCTTAAACCAATTAGGATTCAGTATTAGCAGAAGTAACCATTTTAAACATAAAGTACATCAGTTAGGAATACATTCAGCTTTGAGGAACAGAAAACCTAACAATAGTGGCTTAAACAAGTATGGGGCTTATATTTCCACACAATAAGAAGTCCAGACATAGGTGGTCCAATGCTGATGCAGTTACTCAAGAACGTCAATGATGAATAAAGCTCCACACATTTGCCTGCTTCACCATCCTTAACATGTGCCTTTTGCCCTGAGGGTTGCAAGATAGCTGCTAACTTACCAGATATCAAGTTCCAGCTCCAGGGAGGGAGAAGGGCAAAGGACAAAGCTTTCTCCTCATGGAGCTTTGCTTTATTTTTTTTCAAAAAAGAAAGCCCTCCCCAGGCATTTCTGACTACATCTCATTGGCCAGAATTGGGTTTCATGAACACCCCTAACTGCAGGGGAGGCTGACAATTCAAATACTTATCCTTACAGTTGCCATAGAAAAGAACATCAAGAAAGAGATTGATTGGGGGCTTCCCTGGTGGCGCAGTGGCTGAGAGTCCGCCTGCTGATGCAGGGGACACGGGTTCGTGCCCGGGAGCGGCTGCGCCTGTGATCCACGGCCACTGAGCCTGAGCGTCCGGAGCCTGTGCTCCGCAACGGGAGAGGCCACAGCAGTGAGAGGCCCACGTACCGCGAAAGAAAGAAAGAAAGAAAGAAATTGATTGAAAGCGTATGGAGTGATCTAACACTCTAACCTTAGGGAACCTAAGGTTTTGGGGAATATACATATATTTTTATAAAAATATAAACATATATTTACATGTAAATATATATAATAAAATATATTTTTATTATATATTTATATGTAAATATATTATAAATATATTTATATATTTTATAAATATATTGTGTATAAATATATTTATTTTAATATTTAAAAAATTCATTCATTCAGCAACACTTTTTCCACGGAAGTTGCTCAGGGAGAAAATGTTTTGGTGCATTCCTGGCTGGAGGTACTTGACAGTGCTGAAAACCACTAGCACTGAAAGTAATAAATGTTATCCCTCTTCTATATCATGAATATGAATGGTGCTCTGAAGGCTGAATGCAACCAAAGAATTTACATGAGAAATGAGGCATGAAACATTTTTGAAAATATATTAGCCCAAAGTCCGTATTACTGCATATTTTATACCCTTTTCAATATGCTACAAAAGGTTTGAGCCATCAACTGAATGCTGCAGGAAAAGAACAAACAAGAACAAGGATACAGAAATCAAGGCTGGGAGTCAAGTTGCCGCAAGATGTTCTTTATGGTCGTTATAATGATCACAGTACCAGGCAGCTGGCTTTGCTTCAAACTCTCCCCTTGAGCACTTCTCCTGCAAGCCTGGTCCTCCAACAAACTAATCCCAGGCCAAGTAGACAAAAATATTCACGGAGTAAAGGCAGTATCGGAGAAAGCATTCCATAAATATCTTCCCCCACTCCGGCCACTTGGTTCCTTGTACTTTCTTTTACTTCTGAGATCATCTTCTCAGTTTGAGAACATGAAGGAAGCATGTCTGGTTGGATGTATTCTGGCTGGAAATTCAATTCATGTTTAAATCTTTTATTCTGAATGTTTGTATTGTCCAAAATATATTTTGTAGGCATGGTCCTAGGGTAATAATAACTATAATATGTTTTACATCTTATGAACTTTATCCCATGTTAATGATATTCAGTAAAATTGCCAGTGATATGAATATATTCACCCTTTTAAGATATTATTCAGTATTTTGATCCTTTCTACTTTTATATAGTTCTAAAAAGTTCTGTAATGAATGCATATCATTCCTGTAATATGGAACAACTCTCAACTTTGGTTTTTCCAGGAGGCTGCTCTCTTCCCAGACCAGACCTGAACCTAGTTGGGGCTTGTAAAGTGAAAATACGTGAGACATCAAGTCTGCAGACAAGTTCTCATCAACTATCTGGTTCCCCGAGTCTCATGGTTCATGTACTGAGCCTCCTCTGAAAACTCACATAAAAATACTGATTCCTGGACCTCAGACATGATAATTCAGTTGGACCGGGGTATGGCCCAGAAACCTGCATTTTAAACAAATACCCTAAGTTATTCTGATATAGATGGTCCCCAAGCCACACTTGGAGAAATAATGCTCTGGTTAAGTCATTTGCTCACATGATGAGAGGCCACAGTCTGTGCCAAAGTCCATTCTTATGGATTCCACCAAAGGGCCAGTTTCCCCTTCACACCAGAGAATGGTTCCCTCTCTCCTTCATCTTTCAAAGGATAAACTGCTTCTACTTTTCTTTTCCTCAGTCACAAGGAGTTAATATATTAATAATTTTCATAGCGCTGCTTAATATTTAATAATACTCTGTTACACTGAAGTATTCTGTCATACAGAAAAAGTGTTTCTAAATTAACTAAGCTCAACTGAATGCCTACTGTGAATAAGAAGAGGGATATTAAAGATAGATAAGACCACCTCCCAACTCTCAAATGAAGATTTCTAGATTAGATAGCTCCTGCCTGTCTGTCACTGGGTATGAATTCCCTCAACTAATCTTTAGTGATAAACTACATAGTACATTTGAATGGTTACCATTCTAGAAGAATCATTTCTTAGCCAATTAAACTGTACAGAAAGTTTGGTGTTAAAGATTTACCTTTAACCCTTTAGTCTAAGAATGTTCTATATCATTTTCTTATTTCTAAGAGATAGTTCTATTTTTCTACTAAAGACCTAAAGAAGAATTCCTCTGGGCACAAAACATGTCAGGGGAGCTCTTACTATAAACCAGTTGTTATTTTTTCCTTGCTATCAGACAGTGTTTCACTTAAGCTCATCTAAATTTGGGAGGATGAGACTGCATGTTTCAGAGATAATCTGTCAGCTGTGCTCGTGAAAGGGTCATTAAATTCTTGCAAAGAGTAAGAGGAGAAGGAAGAGGAAAGAGAAGAGACGAGGCTCTGTAGCAACAACTAAATTGTTAAAAACATCTCTTAAATGCCAGCCATGAGGCTAAGTGCTTTAATGAAGTATTTCACTTAATCCTCATGACAGCCATGAGATATAGGTTCTTTATAGATTGATTTTACAGATGATGAAAACTGAGGCATCGATAGATTAAGTAAATTGCCCAAGGTCATATAGCTACGAGGGCCAAACTAAGACTCCAGCGGAGCTCTGTCTGTTTTCAGAGCTCTCAACCGTACACTGCAGGAGAACCCATTGGTTGACAGACTTCCCGGCAAAGTGCAAGCTGGTGCAGCAGCCCTCTCTCGGGAGCATAGTTCTATAACTCTGGCGGCATCAGAGCAGCCAGCAGGAACTGTGCTTGATCAAAAGTTATGGTCCACTGTCTAACTCATCGGAGGACCTCCGACAGCCTCAGAAATCAGGCTGGATTTAGGAATTTGAGTTCCCTTTCCTCACCAAATCAACCCCTCATAATTCATGTGCTACATACCATCTGCCTATTGATCAATCTACTGTGCTGAGGAAGGTCAGTTCTAACTTTTCTAATAAAACCATCAGAATGATTAAAGAGAACCCTATGGCTGTCAGAAAAATATCAAAAATCAGTATGATGACTGAGTTGGCCCTATTGACTCATATATGATTTTTTGTTACAGGGTGAATAGCAATTATTTGGCTGTTAATTAATGCTATGTTGTTATTATTAGGGAGGCCCAAGGTTCAGACATTCTTAATTGCTTGAACTCCTGGGCTAATTAATGCAAGTTTTAAAGGGCTATGTCAGAAATCACAGTATATGTTTTTACATCAAGCATAAAACGTGAGGGACATGCCCCTCACTGAAGATTGCCAGATAGTTCTAAACACTTAGCACAGGTTTTGCCAGAGAAAATCCCAGTATATTAATTTACCGAGTTCAGAGTTACTTATCAAAAGGCTATAGAGCATGATGTTTTGCATAATCAAAATGGTTTATTAACTCGTCATCATTTAATTTTTTCATTTATATTCCAATTCACAGAGACATAAGCATATGAATTACAAAACAGCCTGCAGTAACTAAATACAAAATAGCTACAAGTCTAAGTATTGTACACTACGTACACATCAATAACAAGATGATTTTCACAAAACACCGTGTAAATGTTGATTATTTACATTACCTGATAAGGAATGCCTTGGAGTTTTTTTCCTTGAAGAGTATGTCTATTATTACTCAAAAGAAAATCATCTTCATTTAGATCTATGAAAAGAGGTAAGTGTTACACAGAGATTATCAGAAATTACAAGACTTAAGAAGTTTAAGTGAAATTGAATACCTAAATACTTTTCTTTAGTCTATTAAGGCCTTATATTGACTAGACCATGAATGTTTACTTTCTTAAAGATACACTGTTCTTATAAGAAACAAATCAAAGTAAAATAGAAATTTAACAAAAAAAAAACAAAGAATGCCTCTGACCAGCTGTGTCCTTGAGTAAGCCATGGAACTTTTCTGGGACTCAGTTTCCTTCCCACTTATAGAAGAGTAGCATCTGAGCTGCTAAACCACTTCTAACTCCAAAATGCTATGAGGTAATGTTATCACCTCACTTGTTTCTGTTAAACCGAGATTTCCATCCCTGGCATTTTGAGCTTTATTAGCTTATGTCTTCTCAACATGAATTATTTATGTTGAAATTCTTCTCTGCCTGCTTTGGTAAAAGCTTTGGAGTGTGTCATCCGTTTGCTTGCAGCTAAATGAAACCTTTTCAAAAGATAGCAGCATTTCCCTTTCAGGCCCTGTAAAAGGGGCTCCATTTATATAAATCTGACATACACAGTGCGCTAAAAGAAGACAGGACTTCATGGATCACTTACTCCAAGCCCCATAGTTTACAGATGAGGATACTGAGACCCACAGAAATCACCTGGCCTCCAGGCCAATGGCTTTTTCTTTCACCTTCACTCCCTTTTACTTCCAGTCACTACTACTACTTCAAGTTTCCACTATTCCTCATTCTTGTATTCTGAGGGGGAGGAAGGAAGAGGCAAGGCCTACCTTCCACACATAGTGAAAAACAGAAGCAGGTTTATCCCCCCATCCCCATTATAGCTATGGTTAAAAGATATATTATATTCACAGCTCAGTCTCAGAATTATTTACACCACTTAGTTAATATTTCACGTCAGAGTCACCACACTACAGGGCTCCAGAAAATGCTGAAATTTTAAAATGAGCTGGTTTTGTGATCTGGTTCTTTGAAGAAAGATCTGCCATCACACAGTCAGAATGATAGAAACAGAGATTTTACACTTTTTCTAAAAATTTATTTTCTGTACTTAGAAAAAAAAATATTCTTTCCTCTGTTCCTATATTCCTTTTCATCTCTTTTCTTTTTTTTTTTGATCCCTCGAAACTGAATTTTGGAGAGCTCCCTCTATAGTTACTCTTTCGGGCTCAGGAAAACACCAGTGAAATAGACTCCTGTACCCTCGAATCTGGAAGCCACAGAGTGAGGGATGTGCACAATGCATTTATATCACGTACATAACAGTGCAAGGCAGTAAAACGAGTGATTCATACACTACGGTGGGAAGAGAGCACCAGGACCCAGAGTACTCCCAGAAGATGCAGGGCCTCAGTGGAAGCTTGAAGAATGGAGATTGTTTGGAAAGGCAGAAGCAAAGGAAAAGTTACAGATACAGCAGCAATGCTGTGAACACCAGCCTATAGTGTGGAATAAGTGGAACATGTTTAATTAAATGTAGAAATTGAGATTGGTCACGTCAGAGGGCAGTTGTAGATATTGCACAAGAGGAGGTGAGCCTGGGTGGGTGAGTAAGGCCAAATGGCAATGGACCTTGAGGGCCAGGTGGAGGAATGTGGACATAACCCACGAGACCAGTGCTGCAAATATAAACATCTACAGAAGGCAAATAAGTAATTTAACTCAATGAAGTGAATTTTGTCAAGGAGACATTGGGAGATCTGTGGTGAGGTGAAGGTCTGTCCGCCATTGCTAACGGGCAGCCATTGTTCTCAGCTCTCTCAACAGAAATCACCTTAGACTTTGGACCCAGGATTGGCAATGTCCCTCATGTTTCTCAACAGAGTATAAATATATGAAGTTTAAGGTAAAAGTTCTTGATTTTTAAAATACTGTACGGCCTAAACAAGCTTTTTCTCAAAATAAATTTATTTCTAAAACTACCCATTTGTGGCCTCTGCTTAAAAAATGGGAGATTTATGAGGGTTTTGGACGAAGAAAGGGACACCAGGAAAATGGCATTTTATGAAGATTAACTCTTTGTTTTGTAATCTTATACATTTCATTTATTTCTAACCTCCCAAATGTTACCCTGCCAAAAACATTTATAAAGATAGGAGCAATTTGGTCTGAAGCAGCAACAAAGGCAATAGTTGAATTAGGCAATATGCAGGTTATATTTTCCAAAGACAGCCACAACCATATCTCCCATAGCACATGTTCTTCTGCAATGTGACCTTAGCACTCCTCCACCAAGAAATGGAGTTTAATTCTCCTTCTGCTGAATTGAACTGGCCATAGTGATTTGCTTGTCACAGGAGAATGCAGTGGAAGTGATGTGTTGTGACCTCTAAGTCTGGGTCAGAAGAAGGCTGGCAGCTTCTACCTGGGTCTCTTGTGATACTCACTCTCAAGACACTTCCTTGTGTGATGTGTGAAGCTCCCTCTCATGTCTTTCCCTCCTGAAACCCAGGCTTTAGCCTGGGAAAAGCTCAAATTACATGGAGAGGCCACATATTAGTTCTCCAGTTGACAGCCCCAGCTGAGCCCAACCTGAAGTCAACCCAGACAAGTACCAGACATGTGAGTGAAGAAACCTCTAGATGACTCCAGCCACCAGACATTTAAGTCTTCCTCAGTCATTCAAGTCTTCCTAGAGGAAGCCTCAGACGTTGTGAAGCACTACCCTGACTGAATCTCTGACTGGCAAAATCCATGAGCCGAACAACATTTTGCTTTATGTCATTACGTTTTGGGGTGGTTTATTGTAGCAACAGATTATCTGTACATGCATGAACTACATCAGTGGGTCACAAAAGACAGTGTACATAAGAATGTATCTTCCAGCATAAACGTTCAGACTCCAACTGCCCTTCAAATGCAGATGCAGAAAAAAAAATGGGATTTGATTAAAAAAGCAATATCTCTAATCAGCTTCTAGGTGATTCTAATGGAAATTAGACTTCGGACCATACTCAGGTAACAATAATTCTAGTAAGAACTCTCCTAAAGAATTGAAGGGACACCAAGATTCATTTGTATAAAACACTAGAACTCAGAGTGTTCTTGTCATTCTATTCAGAAAGGCTTCCTTAGAAATAAAAGAGGCCTGCTGTGGCAAGCAGCCTTTGCTTAGGAAGTTTATTCCCGCGTCATAAGCAGACATTCCGGTGTGAGATCAGACTTCTCTCTGTCATTCCTCATGTAGTCCAGTCTAAACAGAGTTAAAGTACATGCTCTTGGGAAATAATGTCTCAATCAAATTGTGGTCCCTGAAAATTAAGCAGAACGGTAAATGCACCTGTGACTCTATACATTCACCATCTTGAAAATGAGGGTATCAAGCCAGTAAAGAAGAAGACTGAATAAGATCTCGAGAAGTTAAACTGAAATCTTTATATGCTTATGCTTACTCTGAAAAGGCTGGCCAAATAATGATACTGACTAGAATTCAAGAAAGAATATTTCAAACTAATGGTAACTCCAGTGTTAAACTGGAAGGTCCTAATGTCTTTACCAATGTGGTTTTTATAATGAATCTCATCAAAATCATATGTAAAGAGGATTCATTTTAAAAATAATTTTGCAGCGGCATGAGTAGAGTTAATTTTCCTTCCATCACTAACCATGTTTCCTGAATGTATCCAGCCCCTTATATCCTTTACAAACATAGCCAATTATTTTCACATATTTTCTGTTTCATGGAATAGTATCACAGTAACACCATTTGAAAAAAATCTCTAAATCTCCAAGTGCGTTTTGTTTCCTTTACCATTTTTTAAATTTTGCTTTGTTTTTATTCTTTGTACTTTCTGGTATAAAATAATGAAAACCCTGTTCTTGAAAATATCTTTACTTAAATCACAACTTGATCTTGGGTAAATTCCAATTCATAGATTTCAAAGTATATTCTTTTCAGGCTTTTTCCCCCCCATAAAACTAAGGCCAAAACAAATTTAAAGATTTTTAAAATCGATTTTAATTTTACTAAAATGAATATTATGAATATTCTGCCTGTTTAGAATGCTAAAAATAAAACAATTAACACGAATTATAGATTAATATCCCTTGATACCTAAATTATGCCAATCTTTCAGTTGTAAAGTCCTGAGCACTCAACTTAGGCTGCATGTATTTTACAGATGTAGTCTCAGTATCACAGATGTAGATTTAGATGAAAGTATTCTTAGAAGAAGGAAATGGACTACATAAACTAAAAATGCTTCTGGCTCTCAACTATTGTGATAAAATTTGTCTTAAGCAACATAACATAATCATGTTATTGGGGTATGTGAATATCTTTATGGATTAAAATACCAGGCACAAATCCTTGGCTAAATATAGCCTGTGGAAGTTTCTTTCATCAGGCTCAATACTCTTCAGGACTGAATTGCTGTTAATATAACTTGTGTCATGTGGAAATACCATTTTGATATTGAAATTGAGAGGAATGGACTTTTTTTGTTCTTGAAGTATGTAATAGATTCTTTAGGAGTTTATGTCACTCCTGTCATTTCCCTATATGTTTTCTTCTGTTTTATTGAAAGATGGTCTTTACAATTTCATCATTAGTGTTCAATAAAAACATGGTCTGTGGATGATAACAACAATGCACCTACCTATCTTCACCTCAGTAAACTTCACAGTCTGCCTATCCTCAAGCCCAGTAAACCACTCTTGAGTAATTATGCAATTAACAGCTAAATAGTAGTGTTTAAATTGAGAAAGAAATATTATAGGTTGATATGTAGGGCACAGATTGCTTAGAAATACTCTGAGCCTTCCGAAGGAAACTACTACACCCATAAAATTCAAGTCCACAGCTTGTGGCTCTCCCTCTCCCACTAAATTTCTCCCTTCAATTTACAATGGAACCGACAGCCTTGGTCTCAGGCCATCAACTCTTTCTAGCACAGCATTAATCCCTAAGAAATGTCCTGTGACTCAGCTGGTACTGCTGAAATGTCAGCTGAACTTCTTAGGCACACACGCACACACACACACACACACACACTCTCACACACACTCACACACATACACAGACTGAACACAGGGGTGCTTAAAAATCTGAGAAATATCAAAGCTGAAAAGTCTTCTTTAAAGGCTTTCTTTTTTGTTCTCTGACAATGAAAAGATCACTAATCAGAAGCACTTCAACTCAGGCCAAGATTTTCTGCTGCTTTGTCAGTGTAGCTATAATAGAATTACTTACCTATTACTGCTAAATTTAAAACAAAAACAAAACCCACAGCATTCTACAAAAAGGATGTTAAAGAAAATAGAATACTTGAAGAGTTTTATGGCAAAATTTATGACTAAAAATAATCTGTAATATAGTTATACCTTCTTTATTCACAGATTAATGTACAATAATCTAAAACTAACACGTGCTTATTAAAGAGATGGCTGAATGAATGGATGGGTGGATGAATGTTTGATTAACTGAGGTGTGAATGAATACAGCTAGCATTCATGAGGTGAAGACAGAATCCAATCAAAATACAATATTAATAAAAGATTTCCTATAATTAGAAGAAAATATCTAAAATAATCCCAAAATGTTTCACCTATTTATTTATTTATAATGGAGAAATCTGTGAATATTTAAAAATTAAGTTAAAACTATTTACCAAAACATTATTCAATCTTGGATAAAATTGATATATTTCAAAGGAAAATGGTTATTTTCATAAATAATTACTTTGTAAATCTATGAGCTCCTTCATGGAGCTCAAAAGGCAAAATCTGAACAGAGTGTATAATCAAACCATTAAATTCCTGACTACAAAAATACATTATAATTCCCTTTGTCCCCAAATATTAAAAAATCTTTTAAAATTAAAAATCAGAAACTCTTAAATAATCAATAACTAATATGAGCAATTAGTTCTTGTTCCAGTAACATTGGAAGGAGAATACCAAGTAGTAGATCAACTTTTTATGTTCTTCTTCATCTTTCTGAACTCTTATGACTTTCTGTTTTATTCATTACCTTCCCAAAGTTAAGTAATTTTAATTATGAAGTCTTTTATTATTCATACATTTTCCTATACCTGACTGCTAATTTGCTTTTCTTGGGATTTTTTAAATCATAAAATGACATAATTTTGCATTAATAGTCAAGTTTATTTCTCTTAAATTCTTAAAGAAAACCTAAAAATCACAACTGTTAATATATTTTTGCATTCTTTTAGACATTAAAGACTTTCAAATATTTTTGCAACTGATTCTTTGCTTCAACAGGCAACTTAATTACATTCTACTTCCTTTCTGCATGTCTGTGTGTATCTACACACACACACACACACACACACACGTATATATTCTATTAGGAATATATACATTCTATTCTATTAGTTTTTCCTTTTTAAGTAGACCACAGTGCACTGCTTATTTTAATGAAGAAAGATGTAAATTTTTCTTACCTGCCCTTTAAACTGCTTTGGGCAAATGCAAAGTCAGCTGAACTAAATTTAGCAATTACCTTTTAGCTGACAGAGTCTTCTGATGTGGGAATCATTCTCAGGCTTGCTGGGTTCCTGCCAAGTTGTGTCATTCACAGTTTTTCCCTCTAAAGCAAAGCAGAAGACTGGTTAGAAGAATTCACGGCAACATCTGTGTAAGAAATTTGATATCAAAACAAGTTCAGCACACGGTTGTAACTTGGTAAGTAATATGTTAAGAAAGCATTGCGGGGCTTCCCTGGTGGCGTAGTGGTTGAGAGTCCGCCTGCCGATGCAGGGGACATGAGTTCGTGACCCGGTCCGGGAAAATCCCACATGCTGCAGAGCGGCTAGGCCCGTGAGCCATGGCCGCTGAGCCTGCGCGTCCGGAGCCTGTGCTCCGCAACGGGAGAGGCCAAAGCAGTGAGAGGCCCGCGTACCGCAAAATAAAAAAAGAAAGCATTGTGGTTCGTTCTGGGGAGTTCTGGTCCCTGAAGGACACTCCCAGATGTTCTGTGGGCTCTCATTTATTTCCATAAACTACATAAGCACTCAAGCATAGATGGTAGAAGGTTGCTACTGAAATACCTGTTGATAGCTTTTGATTACATTATTCTTTGGAGTATTTTTCTTGAATTAATAACCACTTATTTTTTATACATCAATTAAAGTAGCTCCACCCTCCACATTCTTCACTGTTGGTTTTTTTTTTTTTTTTTTTTTCGGTACGCGGGCCTCTCACCGCTGTGGCCTCTCCCGTTGCGGAGCACAGGCCCCGGACGCGCAGGCTCAGCGGCCATGGCTCACGGGCCCAGCCGCTCCGTGGCATTGTGGGATCTTCCCGGAACGGGGCACGAACCCGTGTCCCCTGCATCGGCAGGCGGACTCTCAACCACTGCACCACCAGGGAAGCCCTCTTCACTGTTTTAAACAAAATGATTAAGCGTGTAGAGAGAACATTGAGTTGTTTCAAGAAACGCTTAAGATCCTTGACTGGGAGAACCATGATTTTCCCAGACTTGTCTTTTTAACACGTGGAGCAGGGTCTAGACATGTTGTAAAGAAGTGAACTGCACCAGAATAAAGAACTGGAATCCCTTCTAATCTGTTTACTGAGGACTAATCATCCCACATGATGTATCACACCATTGATAAAGCAAATTTTAAATAATGCGACAAAAGCATCACACAAACTCAGCATGCTGTGCTGTTTTTAAAGTCGGTATTTGCTCTCATATTTGACTACACAGAAGGCAGGTGATCATCAAGAATTATCTTAGCATGGACACCCCTAGAGTCCTATGTGCACAAACTGAATACGCTATGAGAAGGGCATATACAAGTGGAAAATAAAAGAGTGACTACTTCCTTTTATTTCAGATCATGCACTATTCAAATCAGGGCTAGTATTCAAAATATTTAGCAACTACTGCCCACAGGGCCTTGACTAATGAGATGGGACTCAGCCCCTGTAGATGTTGCCACTGGAAGAATATCAGACCCAATTAAAATGCAGATGCCCTTGGTAGATGCATCCACGGATGATCATCACTTTGGCCTGAGCGTGCTTTTCATACCCTATCCAGGAACCTGGTTTTGAAAAAGGGAAAAAGGGGATTTGAGCATCCAACTTCTAGGTGCTGCTGGGGAAAAAGGGTACCCCCAAGTTTGCTGAACTGCATAAAAAATGAATTATTCACTGAATAATCCAGTTGTTTTGTCACTACAAATGTTTTACGATTAGTATAAAACATTCTATTTTTCTATATTCTGTAAAGGAAAGAGAGATATCTTCCATTAACTTTCTAAAAATAATTAGATATTTACTTTAAAATTAAAATACAAATCAAGTCAAGTGCCCCTATTATTACTATGGGTACTGTAACCACAGAAACTGAAGAAAAGCTCTGGTGATTGAAATGCTGAGGAAAGTCTTTCATAATTCAACCATTTTTTATTTCTTTTTTATTCATTCCTAGATTCCTAGATATGAAAAGATATCTAAGAGATCATCTTGACCGTGGACCTTCCAAGCTGAATTTGGGAAATTGGAAGATAGTCAGCCAATAAGCCAAAAAGAATTATTTTTTTTAATATAAAAGGAAATTATTCTGAATAAATCAATGGTTTATTTGTCTTAGCCATTTAAAATTAGAATGGAACCACATTTCTTATTTTTAATTTCTTCTATAAAATTCAAAGACAAATCAATTTGACTTTCATCCATTACTTTTTGTTGCTTTATGGCATTAGCAGCAGAAAATCTCTCTTAGAGAAAGAGAACATATCATTTGCATGAGTAATCTTATGAATTACTAACCAAATACTTTGCTTTCAGACATAGATCTCCGGATTGACCTAGAAAAAAAAAAGAAACCAATATTTAAGTCTAGATTTAATAATTTATATTTTAAGTGAACAGAAATTAGATCACTTAGACATGTGTGCAATGTCCTGGAGAGCAGGAATAAATTCTAAGTTCTACATATGGGCCTGAATCTTCCTGACTCTGGATGGTAAAGTACAGTTAATATATATTGCCTGGAAATTTCCATGCAATATGAAGAAACTAACTTTCATGAATCTCACCACCCCTACCCCTGCAAAAAAAAAAAAAAGGGTAGGCCATTTCTACATGAATGCATCTCAAGATAATCAAATAGTTCATATGGGAAAGTTCTTTTTCAAATAATTCTATTCAATAAATACAGACAGAACATTGCAAATTGAATATATTGTACAATCCCTAATGAAACAATAAATCGGGGCAATAATTACCAGTTGCTGTTAAAGTTTTTAATTGAAAGGCCGATGGGCAACTTAGTGCTGGATGGATCAGTCTGATACCATCTGAACCCACTAAGCAACTTCACAGTTGTAAAAATAGAGACAACCAGATATATGAGCTTCCAATGTAATGCGACAGGAAATATACAGTCACTGATGACCTACTTTTAAAATATATATAGATAGATAATCAAACTTGAATCTTATCAAGCCTGGAGATCTAACTAAAAATTTACAGGAAACAGAAGAGAGAACACATGTTTAAAACACACACAAACGCACACACATATACATGCACACACACACACACAAGGATGCAATCAGTAAAATTAAAAAATATGGAAAATTCCTCAGAACGAATAATCCAGTTTCTTCAGCAAATAAATGGGGAGAAAAACCTATAAATTAAGAAACATGAACAGAATGCATCACATGGATCTTCTTTGCATCGTGATTCAAATAAACTAGCTACTGTTAAAAAAGCTCTTGAGGCTATCAGAGACATTTTAATACTGACTGTATACTTGGTGATATTAGGTTATTTTTCTTATTTTGTTCTAGTATGGCTGTGGTGTTGTGGTTATGTTTAAAAAAAACAATTCTTGTTTCTTAATGATATACTGGAACATGAAATTGTCTGATATGCTTTAAACAAAACCCAGTGAGGGGGGTGGGAGTGGGGAGTCAGATGGGTAGAGATGAAATAAGATTGACTATAAATTGACACTTGATTATGTTAATCAATTTACACATTGGGTGAATACACACACATAGTGTACATGTAAATAATTTTGTTAGAGCTGGAGTGTTTTCCATTATTCACCATTTTTTTTAAGCTCAGGGTTGTAAGCAAAAACTTACATATATAATGTTTCTTTTTTTCTTAACCATTTTATTTTGGTTTGTTTTAATTTTTTAACGCAAAATGCTTATTCAGGACAACTCTTGCGAAGTAACAGGTGTTCCCAATAAAGCTACTTATAATATTATAAAGTGAAGTAGGTGCATAATGACAGGAGAGGTTATTCCCTTCAGGGGAGTGATGGACAAAAGAATTGAGGAACTCAAGAAAGTCTTCAACTTTAACTAGTTGGAATCCGAGGAGCGTGTTAATTGATTTGGCTTATGTTTGAAGATTCCTAATTCCTAATCCTTAATTAATCCTAATAATTAAGGATTCCTAATTCCTTCTGCCCCTCCATGTTTAGGTATCATCTAATCTGTAGAAGCATCAATCGTCAGCCAATGGCTGTAATTTTGTTTAAGTATTTGATTTGGGATTAGTGGGTTCCTTATCCATGGATAGAATAAACAGCTACATAGGTGGGGCGATTTTTAAGACTGAGAAGAACCCTGCTAAAAAAAAACCCTCTTTACTCCCATTCATGCTTAAAATGCCACTGATGTAGTTTAAGTAGGTAACTATGAAAATGCAACTACCCTTGCCTGGCAGGTGCTCTAAACTGTTAATCATGAAATTATCTACTTACTATGGCTGCATTTTATATCCTTACTGGGAGAAAGCTTTGAGCAGGAAAGGAAGGAAAGACTATGAAAGCACAAAGTGTTTTGTGGGAGGAAGTAGTTGGGGGAGGAGGAGAGGCAAGAGCTGTCAAAAAAGACTACATCCAGAAAGAACTTCACATGTTAACAATTTTGTCTCAGACCATTCCAGAGTGCAAGGAAGCCGTTCTTCTGTATCATCAGCAACCAATCTGGAAATTTCCCCATAAACCAACTTCCTGCTGCTATGTATTTCCTGCTTATTAGTTAAAAATCCCATTACCTTATGCAACATGTGTGTGTCGCGTCCTCTGGCAGCTTGATGTGCTGAATATAAAGCCAAGCCTGACCTAAATAACCCAAATCTCTTTGCAAACACATTTTTATTTGGATTAGAAGAACTCCAGAAGATTAATAGTTCACCGATAGAAACATGTTTTCGAGTAGGCTTCCACTTTAATCTGAGCCTAGTTTAGACACATGTTTCTTCCTCTGAAAATTTAATTTTCACATCCCTGTCTACAGGAATGTCACAACACAAGTTTCCTAAGCATAAACATAAATGTTAGCAGGGTAAAGCATACTTAGATTTGTACATGACGATTTTTAAAAAAGCACTTTGACAGGAAACCCACTAAAATAGTCCATTCAACATTGTAGAACTAAGAGAACATAAAGTTTTCAAAGTAAATTTGACTTACTTTCTTTCTGGTTTTGCATTCTCAAAATGAGAAACTTCCTGTAAAATAAAATAAAAAGTAAAATAAAATAATACTACCCCAAGAAATCAGAGAATTCAAGTATAGTTTATCTTTGAGTATAATCCAAATGCAGTTCATTTTGCCTTTTCCTAGTAAAATGACTGTATTTTAGTAATTTATTTAGTAGAATCTTGCTTCTAGTTTTTACTTTTTTCTCTCTTTGTCTTTGTAACTTTGATAAATGTTTACCTTATTGTAAGTCCGTGACAGTTAGTGAGCAAGTCTTTTAAACAAAAACCTGTAATTAAATCCTTGTAGCCTCAAGTTTATATCCCTCTTCAACCCACCAAGACCAGGGGGAGAGACACATACCAGAGTATGTTAATTACATTACCTTTCTTTAAGAAAGATGGAAAGTAGCCTATTACAATACCCTAAGTGTGTTGAAATACACCTGTGATTCATCTGACCTTTTTCTTCAGAGCCGCTGATGCTATGTAAAATCCCTTATACTCTGGCAGAAGAAATATGTTGCCACATCTTTCACCGTCCTCAAAAGAGCTTAAACTGCTTCCAGGCGCCTTTAAGAACTCTTCAGATTCTCTTTCTCATTCATCCACTCCTTCATTCAAAAAACATTTATGTTTTTGATGTTCAGTGTTTTTTGAACACCTACTATATGATAGGCAACAGACCATGTTCTGAAGGGTTTTGTTTGGTGAGGTAGGAATTTGTGTAGTTAAGGGCATTGAGACCAATATTCCACGTAGTGAGAAAAGCAAAGGCTGGAAGGAGTGGTGAACAAAAATCAGAAAAAGGGAAGTTTTTTTTTTTTTAATTAAAGTATGGTTGACTTACAATATTACATTAGTTTCAAGTATACAGCATAGTGATTCAGTATTCTTTTTGCAGATGTTACTCAAAGCTGGTTTTATTATTCCAATAGTTGACAGTATTAGCCTGAGCACTGTAAAATTCAGGAGAAGCTTTCCCCTACATAGTAACTGAGGGGGACCTTTCTCAAACCCTTATTGTGTTTTTATCAAGATTTAACTTCAAAGACAATTTGAATTACCTATTTCACATTGTTGGGTAGAACTGAAAACCCATGTACTGAAATAATCAGTCCCCAACTTGAGAAACAACTTTTGCCAAGTTAAGATGCCTGTGGATCACCCAGAGGACAACGTCTTATAGAAGAGATGTGGGGGTGAAGGTAAAAATGTGGGAGTCACGAACCAAGCCCTGAGGTGAACTGGGATATCAACAGACTTTGAGGACTTAATTGTTAGATTGATCACTCCTTCGATTCTCTGTGCTTTGTCATCAGGGGTCCTAAAAATAATCAATCTCTATCCATGGTCTTTTTATGAAATTTTTTCAGTCTGGTCTAGAAGTCTCCAAACCTCAGTCCGGAAGCTAACTGTATCCTTTTCACCACAATCAGAGGACACACAAGCTTTGTGAGGGTCATCAGGAAAGGGGATGGTCACATTTGTAGCATTTTCCTCTCATACGTATTTGGAATGTAGCTAGGAAGGAGCAAACTCCATGTTCCCATAATCTATGCAGTTTGGGCCAGTTATGTCTCAATAATCAGAATCCATCGTCATGAGTCTCATTAATTTGTTATGTGAGTTTAGATAAATTTCTTTGGATTGTGAATCTTGCACTCTTCAAAATAATTCTACCTCTTTTGAGTATAAAGAGGAAAGGTGTCTGGTCCGGAGTTAAGCAGTACAGAAGATGGATTTGAAATAGGAAAGATAGGAAACATTAGATATCTTTTGTATTTGTTATCATTTGAATCATAGTACTTTTCGAATCCACTTATTATATCAATAATTCATTGTTTTTTGCTACCAAAGAGATTTAATTCCAGATGACACAAAACTTGTGTGCAATTGAGCCCCAAGTGTTTGAATTGGGGCGGAGGGCGTATTAGTCAAGCACAGCCTCTTGCTTCAGCTGGGTGAAGCCTTAGCTAAGTTAATAAAATCAGATGTTGGACCAAAACTGGTTAAATATGTGTAGTTACTGATTGTAGTGAAAGGGACACAATTAGCTTCTAAGCTGAGGTTTAGAGACATCTGGACCAAGACTTGAAAGAATTTCATAAGACCATAGACGGAGACTGGTTAATTTTAGAACATACTTTGTCACAACATTCTCTAGGGACTATCTACTTTGTTCTATTTTACTGGAATCCGGGTCATCCAACATTTGCTTGTAATGAATCAGCTTAGGTTTGGGGATCTTTTATTAAAGAGTTTTCTTGTAATGAATACTTTGAAAAAGATTTTGAGCTAAAACTTCTTTCGAATCCTTATTAATATGAAAGAGTTAATGTAGTTCTCCTTAGGGTACTACAAAAGGGTAGAGAGAGTCAAGCACACGAAATTCAGTCTCAGGTGTGATTATATGAAGGAAAGGGATTACTCAAATAGGGCAACATCTACTTATAAGAATAAGACTTCTGTTCCCTGGGTGTTGCTTAATTGTAGATGACTACTGAACTGGTTAAGCAATTTTTAGTACTTCTTGTACCAAGCAGTCTGCTTACATAAGCAGACCATCATGCACTTTGGAGTTCAGACCCTAGGTTCTTTATTTCTGGAGGGGCAAGTCAAGAAGGACTAGACATAGCTTTATTTTTAGAACTATATCTATGTGTGTGTGTGTGTGTGTGTGTGTGTGTGCATGTGCGCGTGTGATACTCTGGACTACAAAAGGAAAATACCATTTCAGAGAGTCAGTGAAATCATTCTGTCTAGTCCATTAATTTGACACTTGCCATCAATACCAGCTAAAACTTGCTCCTGTTAGCCTTCATTATCCCCTAAGTCAAGCACTAATCATTAGTCTTACCTTTCATTCGCTAGGGAGTTTGTGGCTTAATTTAATTGTTATCCCTGGCAATTTTTAGGAAAATTAAAAAAATATGAAATGTAGACAAATTATTATAAATGGGCCAGTAGAAACTGAAGAATATGTCCAACCTATGTTATTTTTCAAGTAGATGACAGTAGGCTCTAGGAGCAAAGCATTTTCACATAACTATGAAACTAGGTCAAATTAAGGAAAATTTAAAAACAATTAGAAATGAAGAGAGAGAAGGTGCCATTTAAAAGAATAGAGAAATTTTGGATACCAACTGCCATATTTCTATTCTCATGCAGTCGTTACAGTTGACTGTCCTTTGGGATTGAGTCTAATATGTGCCTGTTTCTTGTGTTATTCGTTTTTAAATCTTACTTTCAAATCACAAAGTCAAAAGGAAAAATGAAGTGAAGAATATGTCAGGAGTTGTTGTTGACCAGCTAATGGAAATGTGAAAGGTATTTCTGCACAGAGAATAATGACTGACGGTAAATGATGGTGTAAATTCCATGGTGAATTTTTAAGACTGAAGAGCTGATGAGATCTGACCTTTGATTTGCAAATGAATAAATTGAGGTCCCAGATGGTAAATTGACATGTCTAGGGTCATACGTACAGTGCTTTACCTTGGTTAAATGTTAGTCATATTTTTCATTCTAATGTATTCTTTAGAATCATATAATTCATTCATTCATAGATTTATAGTTCATTCAACAAACATTTATTGAGCATCTGTCATGTACCAGACACTCTTTTAGAGTCAAAAAAGAATTACAAGTGGCTCTTCTCTCAAATATCCACCATCAATGACCGCTGCTCTCAGGATCCTGTTGGATTCCATGATTTTCCTAATTTTGAAGATTAAATGAGCTAGCCTTTATAAAATCCTTACATGATTCCAAACACACTGAAGATATTTACAGATGTTACTTCTCATTAGATTAATTATTCATTAATGATTACATGGAATTCTGATAATGAGGTAAGAATTGAACATAAATACAAACACACACACATATACATACATACATATAACTTCTTATTCAAATAAGCTAACCCAGTTTCTATTTTATTCAACTCATTCTCTTGCAAGAATAAAGATAATTCACTTGCATAACTAAAATTATTTTAACTAATATCAAAATACTGTGATTCCAAGAATGCCACATCCAAACTGAATGAGCTTATGTCTGGACATTTCTTAACCTCTTAGGCCTCAATAAAGTTCCCACAGATGTTCAAAAAAAGAAAGGGAAATTCACAGAATTTCCCTTTAAAAAAATTCTAATAGACATCTGGAAAGAGGATGCTTATGATGCTTCAAATTTAATAAAGTGGGCTAATTTTGCAGTGCACTGAAAAGCCACCAGAGAGATGAAAAAATGTATACCCAGCTTTCAGCTCTGTTCTCAAAACAAGGAGGAAGTTTGTGTGCTGGATAACAAACCATCACCCATGTGAAGGAGTCCTGCCACCTATGAGGTCCTCCATCCTGCCTCTACACCTGATTACAAACATGTGGAGAAAAATCACATGAAGAAGTCTCCTAAATTATCGAATAGATCACACCACAAAGAGAAATGTTAGTCAATATAGCTAGTTTGAGCCCAGGTGGTTAAAGCAAGTTACTAAGAATGACAAGACTTTTATAGCTTTTCTAATTTCTTGATTTAACACACTTGCGAAATAATAATGGCAGAACACTTATGGATTATCAAGCACACTTCCAAATGCTTTACATGGAGTAATTCATTTAACCCTCCCAACAATCCCGTGAGGTTTATACAGTTATTTGTCTTCAATTTACACATGAATAAACTGAGGCACGGAGCAGTCAAATTCTTGCCTAAGGTCACATAACTAGTAAGTGGTAAAACTGGAATTTTATGCCTGATGCCTTAATGAGTACACAATGCTACTTCAATACTTGACTACACAGATACAAAATCTACCTGTCATCTAGATCAGAGATCCCACAAACGAACTGTTGGCCAGAAGAGAGAGTGGCTAGAGAAATGTAATACTATATGCCAGTACTAAACAAAAAACTCAGAAAGCATACTTTTATCAAAGTACTAATATGAATAGTTTAGTATTTTTTGCACATAATTCTTTTTTTTAATTGAAATATAGTTGATTTACAATGTGTTAGTTTTAG